TTCCTAGGCCTGAGCCCATTGATGCCGCCACCGTGTCAGTTCACTCATTTCGTCCAGGGCCATCCTGTTTTTGCCGCCCCTGCACTTTATCAAACACGAGGTCCTTCTCCAGTAACTGGTCTCTCCTGACAATATGTCCAAAGTATGTAAGATGAAATCTTGCCCCTAAGGAGCACTCTGGCCTGACTTCTTCCAACACAGATCGGTTCGTCCTTTGAGCAGTCCACGGTGTTACCATCCAGTGGTATGGACCTGCAGTGAGTGTTGACCTGAAGAAAAAGAATGGCCAGTGGACTGATGATCCAAAGGCAAGTTTTATTTCCAAAGTACAGCTTTATATATAAGGAGGCAAGGGTACCTAGCATGCATCGTGCAACAATCACACCGTGATAAACTGCTCTGTGCACGAACAGTTCACGGGGACTAGTCTTATCTTGACAAACGCAGCTGTGAGCTCAGTGCAATCAGGGCATCAAGGGATGTGAGGGAACGTCCCGGAATTCATCTTGATCACATGTGACCATCGTCCCAGTGTTCTGGGTTGATAAGGACACAGTGTCTCCAAGCACCCCAGAGAGTCACTAATACCCTTCAGTTAAAACTCGGTGACTCTCTATACACGGTCCTTTCGATAGTCTTCTCCAGCACCACAATTCAAATGCATTGATTCTTCTACAGTCTTCCTTACTCAATGCCCAATTTTCTTTTCCTTTTTCAATGCCCAGTCTTCAAGCGCATGTGAGGCAATGGAGAATACCATGCATTGGGTCAGGAGCACTTTAGTCCTCAAAGCAACATCCTGGTTCTCCAAAACTCTAAAGAGTCTTGTGCAACAGATGTACCTAATACAATACGTCTATTGCTCTCTTGGCTGCTGCTTCCATGAGCATTGATTGTAGATCCAAGAAAGACAAAATCCTTGACAACTTTAATCTTTTCTCCATTTATTACGATGCTACCTGTTGGTCCAGTTGTGGGGATGTTTGTCTTCCTTTCATTGAGTTGTGATCCATACTGAAGACTATAATCCTTGATCATCATCAGGAAGTGAGTCAAGTCCTCCTCACTTTCAACAAGTAAGGTGGTGTCATCTACATACGTCAGGTTGTCAATAAGCCTCCTCCAATCCTGGTGCCACATTCGTCTTCACAGAAGCCAGCTTCTCGGATGGCCTGCTCATTAGCATCCACCTGCTTAACCACTGTGACTAGCGTTCCTTAAAATCTCGATTCACATATATTTTTTGCTTTTTATTGATTGAGCCCCTTTAAATTTTTTTAGGTACACACACACACACACACACACACACACACACACACACACGAA